GCCTTTATGTAATATATGTTATCATTTCATACTATTGCATACCATGACATATTTAGAATCAATGTGGGAAAGAATGATTAATTATAATTTGCCCAAGTTATGCAGCAATTTTTAATTGCGTTTTTGTTACCTGTTTATAAAAGATGTAATATATAGCCTCACAGGACAGTTCTTGGTCATGACTGAGGAAGTTTAATCAGTATAAAGAATGAGCTGATGGCTCTTTGTAGTAGGTGTTGCCAGAAATACGAAAGCACGGCTTACTAATGTATATTTTTTTTTCTGTGTTATTTTATTTTATATAATTTTTGTGAAATATATTATATCATTCAATTTTTTAAAATATTTTTTATGACATGCCATATCATATTTAAAATCATTGTATATAATTTTTAAGCCTTTCGTTTGACTTTTGCTTTTTGTGAAATATAAAATATCATTCCTTATTATTTAATATTCGAATACCCTGTCATATCATTTTTAAAATGATTGTGTGAAAAGAGGATTAATTATGATGAGCCCAAGTTTCAATTAACAATTTTTTATTGTATTTTTAGTTAAACATGGCCAAATATCAAAAGTTAATAATAACATATTAAGAAAAATGCATCACTCAACCTCACTGACCAATTCTTGGCTACAGTGAGGTAATTAAATCAGTATAAAGAAGGGACTGATGATTTCTTGCAGTAGGTGTTGCCTGATATAATAAAAAAGAGCTTAACATTGTATATTATTTTTCAGTGTTATAAAACTTTTGTTTTATAAAACTTTTGAAATATATAGTATCATTGCACATTATTTGTTTTTACAAAATAATAATTGTCTTTAAAATTGTATGCCTATAATTGAATTTTTTAATATTATTTTCTCTTTTAATATTATTTTTTAATCTTATTTTATAACTGACAGAGTGTTGCATAGTCCTAGACATGGGGTGTCGAATGGAGTTAAGTAATAGTAAATAAAGTCGTAAATGTTAAATTATACAAATAAATTTCAAATAAACAATTTAAATAAACCGAACTTAACTAACTTAATAACATAAAACACAACATTCGCTCGGTTCCATTCTAGAAAACGAGAAAGTAATATAATTCAAAAAATTTAAAAACATAAATATTAAAATACCTTTTAATCACATTTTTTTATGAAAAAGTGTGTATGACAAGTGTTTTTATAACGTCTTATTAAGAGTAAATAAAATGATATCAAGGTATTCTGAAACAAATCTTACTTTATGCCATGTGGATTTTTACTTTGCCTCCATAGCTTTATGCATAGAGTGCAGTATAATTTGAAGAACGTAAAAAATCATAAATCTTATGAGGTTGTAAAAAATTAATTGTAGCTCGTTAAAAAACTTTTGACAATGGAATGTCAGTAAAATGATTAAAAAAGAGCCATGGAATTATTCAGAGAATACCCTCACAACGCTTCTTTCTGTTAGCACTGTAAATCTGTATTCCCTTAGGAGATGCAATGAAAGATTCCGAAAATGCAGTTTTGGCATAAAAATTAAGCTAATTTTTTCCCGCTAAGCATTTTGCCTTTAAGTCTTCATTTGGCGAAGTCGCGTTGGCCGCTCTAAGTTGAAGAAACGGTCTTTCCACAACCGAGGGTAGAATCTAATGGGGATGCACGAAAAAAATTATTCTTTCAGATAATACTTTAAAGTGCATGCCTATTTAAAAGAAAAAAAATCTATTTTATTCTCTAGCTATTAACAAGAAATAAATGGAATTACCCAAATTTTAATACATTTATTTTAACAGCGTAGGTCTTTTAAATACTTTTTAACCATGAAATGTAGTTTGTGGAATATTATTTAAAAAAAACCATTCAATAATTATGACATATTTTATTCACAAGGATTATATATTAAAAAAAGTACAAATTAATAAGGTAATAGATAGTAAGATAATAATTAAGTTAAATCCAATTCGATCAGTCATCAATTAGAAGTTAAACCCAACGTAATTAATTAAATAATCATCAGTTCAGTTAAATAAAAATTCAATCGCATCAATCAAGTTAAATTCAATTCAATCAATCACTAATTAAGTTAAATCCAATTCAATCAGTCATCAATTAAGTTAAATACAATGTAATGAATTAAATAATCATCAATTCAGTTAAATCCAATCTAATCAATTCAATCAGTCATCGTTTATTTAAATCAATCTAATATATCCGATCAATCATCAGTTCATTTTATTCTGATCCAATCCGATCAATCAACAATTCAGTTCATTCTGATCCAATCCGATCAAATCATAATGAATTTATTTCTGTCCTACTATCAGATTAAATAATAAACTATAAGTTTTATGTTATTTTTTATGAAACTCTCGAGATATTTTATCGTTATTTATCAGGGAAATTATTAAAGATTTTTATGATATAATTATTTTATATTTAAAAAATCTTCCATTTCATACGATTAATTATAAAACCAAAAGTTTATTATGTTCAATCAATTATCAAATTCAACCTATCATTATTTTTGATTCAATCCAATCAATCAACAATTCAATTTAATCAAAGCAATCAATAAAATCCAATCTAATCAATCCAGTCAATCATCAATTATCAATTATTTTTTCAGGTCATTATGCATTAAGTTTTAGAAATTGCAAAAAAATTTTTTATCATTATGTTTTAGAAAATTATTTAAAGTTTGTATCATTATTTTTTATGATATTATTGTAAATTGCTTAAAGCCAAAATTTAAGGCAAATTAATAATATTATTTTACTCTCTACTACAGATTAAAAAAAGATATAAGGGTGAAAAGATTTGTAACATATTCTCTGATGGGAAAATAACAATAATAATAAATGTATTCACTCTTAAATTTAACATTATCTGAAAAATTAATTCATCACTTTGTGCTATCTGATTTCATTAGAATTCAGTTTGAAGTCAAATAATGAATTAATTCTTAATATTAATGATAATGAGATCCATTTCATACTTGATTTTTGATTTTATAATAGGAAAGACGGTTATCGAGCATTTTTTAAACAAATGATCAAATTAGTGTTTTTAATAAATAATTTGTGAATGCAGTAAGAATCACGCAAAATTATATTCTTTCTCGCTTTTGGGATGGTAAAATATGCAAATTAGTAAATTACTAAAGTATCAAGAAACGTGTAAAGCTTCTTATTATTTTGTGATTCAATTTATAAACCTCAAATACGTGCTAAGTATGTTAATTTTATCTAATCGCTCTTTAAAGTTCACGGAGAAATGTTGAAGGTGGGAAATTTTTAACAAAACAGCGTTATGTATGTAAAAGTACGAATAATGCAAATAATTGAATTAAATAAATTCTTATGTTTTCAAGATTTGGATTTGAAACTGTTTTATATACATATCTGTGTACATTTCCGGTATAATCACTGCAATCTTCGAATTTTTTTGTATTTCTACAATCCCTGGTATAATTTAATTAATTTGACTTTTTTCTTGAAAACATATTTTTATCTGAAGTTTTTGCACTTCATGTATTGGCAAATAGATTTACGACAAGGTATAGAAATCAGCAATATTATTCTTTTAATTTATAATAAAATAGTATGTTTGAAATTACTTTGATTAACTTTATTTTTGTTTTTAAATCACACTTCACACACATATATTAAATCATTTTGGAACCAATGTTTAAGAAGTTGAGGAAATACTTACTTCCTTATGTACTTCTGAATATATGATAGGCAGTAGTTCATTACTGTAAGAGCAATAAAATAAACTAAATCTTTTCAGAAGAACATAATTATTTGATGGTGACTTTTAGGTTTTCAAATATTGCATTAAAATGCAATGAACAAATGCCATTTTCCAAAATAACGGAGATAGATGTAATATGAGATATATTTCAAAAGAAATATGTGTTTTGTAAAGATCTGGCCTAGATCTAATGTGAACTGGCAGATAACTCAATGTAAACATAGGAAGGTGAAATGGAGTTCCACATTTCCGCCAAGAATAGTCTCGATAAATTTGTTTTCTTCGAAAGTTCTCTTGAATTTCGGAGGTAGAGAAATCTTGATATAAATTTGAGATTTTAGCATGTCTTTTAACAAAGTATTAATTTGATGATATGCAAGATACCTGCCCTAGCAATTCCCGCTAATTTCCCTGTAGCAGCATAATACTGAATGGAGGGCAATTCATGCACCACATTAAGTTATGCTGTAGCAGTCTGTCATCAATTTACTCCTTTTACAATTCCGTAACATGTGTGGCATTTAAAAAGAACAACAGTTATAAAGTATTTGTTGACTAACTGAATATTCATATAAAGGATCTTATCAATCATCTTGCACTTATTTTTAAATTTTTTTTAGGGGAAACTAATTAGATGATTGATAAGAAAATCATGCAACAAAATAAAAAATCACACAAAAAGATACAATTCATGCTCCCCACTAAGTTATACTGTACTAGCTACATATCTGGCTTTTAAATCTATCGTCACATTGTATATTTTTACAATTCCATAAAATGTGTGACCTTATGAAAAGAACAGTTATAAAGTATCTGCACTTAAAAATATGGCTACCTTTTTGCTGACTAACTGAATATTCATATAAAGGATCTTATCAAACATCTTGCAATTAGTTTCACTAAAATAAGTGCAACATGATAAGAAAATCATACAATAAAAAAATAAAATTACACAGAAGATGCAATTCCTTCACGTACAGTTATTGTATAGGCTACAAATCTGGCGATCAAATCTGCCATCATTTTACATATTTTACAAATCTGTAAAATGTGTGGCATTTGAAACGGACAACAGCTGAAACGTATCTGATCTTAAAATTAAAGCCATACTTTGCTGACTATATTAATCAAATATTCATATGAATGATCTTTTCAATCAATCCTCTTGTAATTAGGTTTTCTTAAAAACCTTTAAAATATGCTAGGTGATTGATAAGTAAATGCTACAATAAAGTACAATCATACAAACAATACAATTCATTCCAACGGCCATGCCATGAATATACCGGTTCTCGTTAGATCACCGAAGTCAAGCATCATTGGGCGCGGTCAGTACTTCTGGGTGGGTGACCACCTCTGAAAACCGCGTGCCGTTGGCATTCACAAATTAGGACCTGAATGATCGAGTGTCTGGCGCTCTGGCGCTCGGTGCCACAGGCTTCGGGTTCGAATCCCGGCGGTGCCATGGATGTTTGTAGTGGTTCGGAATCCACTTTAAGCCGTAGGTCCCGGTCTCCCTATGACTGTAAGAGCGTCACGGAGCCAAAGTCAGACTTCTACCTACAGTGATCCATCACAACAGAAGCTGCTTCCTTCCCCTTCAATCATGAGTACATATGGGCTCGTGGGCTTGTCCAGCCAAGTGGGATAAGAAACAACAAACAACAAAACACAATTCATGCTCCACGTTAATTTATGCAGTATCTGCTACAAACCTGCCGTTCCATTCTGTCAGTATTTTAAACATATTTTTACAAATCTGTAAGGAAAGAACAGATACTTTTCAAATAGCACACATTTTACAAATTTTTTAAAATGTGTGAAATTTGAAAAGAACAAAAGCTGTAAAGTATCTATTCTTAAAATATGAATAATTTTTGACTACATAAGTATTATTCATAATGATAGGAATCAATTAGTTTTCTTTAAAAAACTTTATAAGATAAATGATAAGAAAAATCACACAAAAACACTTTTATATGGTTTTATATTGGAAAAAAGAAAGCAATACAATTTACAGTGAAAAGGTTATTATTGAGGTATTAGATCATTTTTTAAAACCACGTTTAAGAAGCTAATGAAGTACTACCTATGTACTTTTGAGTGAACTACTACGTAACGACACAATGTACTTGTCTGAGTATATATTGAATGGTATTTCATTACTTTATAAGCAAAAAAAAAAAATTACTAAATATTTTTACAATAACATAATCGGTGTTTTTTAAATTATTCCCACTATTACATCAAAATGCCTTGACAAAATATTCAATACAACTTAGAAAATCGATTTCAAAAAGAAATATACTTGTAAAGGTCGGTCCTTGATCTGGAGTGATCTGTTGGATAACTCATGGTAAACATGTGAAGATGAAAAGGAGTTCCCATATTTCCGTCAGGAATAGGCTCGATAAATTTGTTTTCTCTAAAGTTTTGAAGTTCGGCAGAAGGGAAATCGTAATGTAACTTTGAGATTTATGCAGATCCTTTTCCAAAGGACCTGTTAGATGATGCGTAAGATACCAGATCTAGGAATACCCTTTAAAATCTGTAGCAGCATAATGTAATTGTTTATGACAGTCAATTCAGGTTCCGCACTAATATATGCTGTACCTGCTACAAATCTGTCATTATTTTGTACATTTTACAAGTCCATAAAATGTGTAGGCATTTGAAAAGAACAATAACTCTAAAGTATTTGTTCTTAAAAATAAGGATATCATTTATTGGCTAACTAAATATTCGTATGAAGGATCTTATCAATCGTCTTGCAATTAGTTTCGCTTAAAAAGTTAGATGATTTCCCTTAAGGGTTAGATGAGTGATAAGAAAATCATACAATAAAGTATAATTCCACAAAATATACAATTCATGCTCTACACTAAGTTATGCTGTATCCGCTATAAATCTGGCGTTTAAATCTGTCACCCTTTTTACACATTTTACAAATCTGTAAAATGTGTGAAATTTGAAAAGAACAAAAGCTGTAAAGTATCTATTCTTAAAATATGAATAATTTTTTGACTATTAACGGAATAAAAAATGAATCAATTAGTTTGCCTTAAAAACTTTAGATAAATGATAGATGAATGATAAGAAAAATCAAAAAAAACTTTTATATGGTTTATATTGGAAAAAGAAAGCAAATACAATTTACAGTGAGGTTTAAAAGATTTGCTGAGAAAATTTGTTGAAAATTGTTTCTGTCTAGATTATGTACGACTAGGAGATTGTAGATAATACTTTAAACCATATATTTTACTTTTTAGTACACGTGAAGATTAATTGATGTCTCTAAATGAAAAAGAAGATATTAATAAAATAAATATCTCGAATATGCGGTAATCACTAATACAATAAAAATAATCACTAATACAATAAAAAATATATAATAAATAAAATTCCAAATAATTTTTAAACAATAAACTTACATTTTTGTTAGATATAAGAATTCACATTTTAGCCTAACAATTTTAGCAGAACACTTTTCACTTTCCATTAAATTTTATTTTAACGTTAAAATAATAAGCTTTACTTTAAACCTATATTTTTTTTAACAATAAAGTCTTAATTAAGGTATATTGCATGTTATATATCTCAGCAGGAGGGGGTAACATCTAAGTAGTGTTGTTTAAGTAGCCATGCAAGTTTTTAAGGGTTACCTCATGTTATTGTCTTACGTATAAAGGGCTACTTCTTTTTTTTTTTTTTTTTTTTTTTTTGTTAGCGTGTGTGTAATCGTCCCTTAAACGCCACATATGATTTATTTGTATGCCGGAATTGAGTATTTTTATTGATTTTTCTCTCTTCTTACATCTCCTCTCTTCGTATCACGTGGTGATGATAAATTCATTTGAAGTTTAACGTCACCTCTGGTGTTAGGGCTATTCATTTTTTGGCGAGTGTTTATACTGCAGCCATTTTCAATTACGTTCGGTGCGAGATATTTTTCAGAGGTTTTTTTAAGGATCTAGGAAAGAGTTTTAATTTAATACTTTATTGTTATGAAATTGAAGGGAGCATCAATTTTTTAGCTTGTTGAAATGTTAAAAAGTTATATCTGGTAATTTTTGAAAGAAATTACTTGAGATGATTTCTAATTTTTTTAGGTGATATCAGGCGAAGTTTAGCATAGTGGTGTAACAATACAATATTAGGCACGAAGAAAATTTTTAGACTGGAACCCTCAAAAATTAAGTTGATCGTGTTATTTTTATTGAAGGGACTTTTTATTACCTCATAGGGCCTATAAATGATCTGTTGTGCAATATCATATTTTAAATAAAAAAATTATAACATAAGTAATAACTATTTATTATTTTTATTGTTACAATTATACATGATGGGGAATGCGTCTAATAATAATAATAGTAATAATATAGGAATGGGAACTGAGGGCCGAGTCCCACAGGTTTCGGGATCGAGTTCCGGCAGTGACATTCATGTTTGTAGTGGTTCGATAGTGATATATATTTAATTATCTATTGCGGAAATTTTATAATAAATAACCTTTAAGCAAATGAATGGGTATGAGAAAAAAATGGTAGATGTTATTTTGTAAATAATCAAAAAAGTGTAACTTTGAGTAGGAAAGAAAGAGGAATTCATAAAAATCTATTTTTTACAATTAACGTTTTTTTTTTTTTATTATTATTATTATTATTCATACGGAGATAATTTATTGATACACGAATTCATATAAACCCAAAGCAAACAAAGCGTTCTCGAAAGTAAAAAAGTGAAAATCTTTTATTTATGGAATTTTCAAGGAATCAAAACTAAATCAACGAATTAACTGATTAGCCTCATTATACATTCAAAAGCAAAACACTTGAGAGGGAAAATCATTATAAAACCAAGCACAGAGCAGTTTTATCATTCATACCAACTTTCAAATGTGTACAATTCATTACTGTTTTTTACCTTCACTGAAAACACACTTATTTTAGAATTCTTTGTAAGGTATATAATTAGATAAGGAAATAATAAAGTGTTGTTTTTCTGAGTGTTGCTCATCGTTTACTTTGAATTGGCTAATTACGTTAGTACTTCAACTGCAACTGCAATGCTAATCATAATTAAGAGATACAAATTGAGTACGCCTAGCAAGATTTACTAGTTTGATCTATTTTTTTTTTTTCCATTGTTGTTAAAAAGATTGTTGTCAGAGAAATGAAGAATAGCTTGTTTTTACAAAATGTTTTACTTGTTTAGTTTTAAGTTAACCTAATTATCAATAAACGATATTAATAGTAGGATTAGATATACACATTTATGCATTGATTTCTTAATAAAGAAAAAAAAAGTGTTTTTTTACTGATTCACTTAATGAAGTAAGCATTATTTTAATATATTTGTATTTATTGAAGGTATGAAAAAAAAATGAATACATTTCTAAATTTACTAAAGCCACAAATTTCCTTCTATTTATTTTTTAATTCTCATAAAAACTCTTAAACATTTTAACTCTAATAGTTAAAATTTCAGAAATTTTCTTCTTTTTCACTGGCTCAATAATCCCATGGTGAGCCAAGACCGTCTGCTTACTGGAAGATTTCGAGACAGGAGATGTTTTTCCACTTTACGGGGTAGGGCTATTAGTCCTTTACAGACATATTAGACCGGAATCTACAGTTTAAAGTGGATTTCGAACCATTACTTTCGACTCAGCAACATTTCGAAACTGGAAATTGTAGACAGACGCATTATTCGTTGAGCCACTGGCCCACGCAGAATTTTTAACACATATTATATTTTAATGTTCCTAAAATGTTAAAATACTAAAATCAAATCACTGTAAAATTTCTATATAAGAGTAACAAATGTACCAATATCAAAGTAGATTGATGCTGATTTCTTGCGATTTGATTTTTCAAATTCATATTAAAATATTCGCCGTCATTATATCGTTGTACAGTTATAACTATGCATGCAAAGAATAAATGCAATATTTTTTTTTTTTCATTTAAATATTATATAGATATATTTTATCTCATACCATGAATAATATTTTACTGTTATTGTGTCCAATCTTCAGTGTTCTGAAGTTGCAGGACAGACATCCCATGAGTAATCTACTCATGGATAGAATGAAAGGGGAGAAAGCTCCTGTTATGATGGAGCACCCATAAGTAGAAATGTTGAAAACCGTGTGGTCTGACATTATCATCTTGTTTGAGGATGGAGTCACTAACTACATCTGCGTAAGGGTGAATAATTGGATCAAGAATGATGCCTCTCTACGGCAGAGCAGAATGATGCTTCTTGATTTGATATATAGTTCATAGTGGCCATCTAAAGATATACCTACTCATACAAAAACATTGGAGACCCTAAATATGCATGTTTAATTAAATTTTTATTTTAAGGGTGTTG